AACTTTTCTTCTGCAAAGCTTCAATAAATAACACCAAACCAACTCATAGCTATTTTGGATTTGATTTTTTTTTTGGTTACAATAATTTAAATCCAGGCATTCTGGGGTATTTTCCCCTCTAAAGCTTAATAGTTGCTTCCAAGAAACAGAATTTAGAAATATCATAACATACTAAAAAAAACAGTGTTTGGGTAAAGAATCTGTTGAATATCAACATTTAAACTTCAGGAGAGAATCCAGAAATCATGGAACATAAACAGTAATTGTTTTATTAGATAGAACCTGGGCAATGATGACTTTGAGAAAGTTAAACCATACTTTGCAGAATCAGCTGGCAAAAGAAAGCTCAGGAGCATATAGGTTGGAAACATGCGGAAGAGGCCTTCATCCTCCAATAGATAGACAATGACTAAAATGATGGTGATGATGATAATACATACATACATACATATATATATATGTATGTATTTTACGCGGGAGAAAACCCGAACAACCAAAGACCGACATACAAACACCCGCGAAAACCTCAGAAAACATATACATATACACGTATACATACATACATACATACATACAAACATACATACATACGTAGCAAAGGCTATGGTAAACCTATATATATTAGCTGCTTTGTCTTCATAAGATTGTCCAAGACTCTTGAAGTCTGTTTTTATCTAAGGTAAGTCTAGCTCCACAGGTTATAAGAAGCCTTACAAAGTAGTCAAATTAAATCAAACCAACAACTTATTCAGCCATTATTATTAAAATTATTATTAAAGCCATTATTCATCCAAAGTTTACCATAAATTCCATGATCCTCCTGGTCTAAGAAGTAAGGACACTATGCAGCATTGATCACTTGTGGCTGACACTCAAACAACATTCTCCTGGATGTTTTTAAATACATTTAAATTTATTTAATACCAGTATAAGCCATTACTCCCCCCCCCATTTTCTGAGACAATCTGTTTCTTACCTTATGCATCCATATTTATATTGCCATACACCCTATACCAGGGGTAGGCAACCTTGGCTCTTTTATGACTTGTGGTCTTCAATTCCCAGAATTGTGTGCTGTGCTGGCTCAGGAATTCTGGGAGTTGAAGTTCGTGAGTCATAAAAGAGCCAAGGTTGCCTATCCCTGCCCAATGCTATACCATCTGATCCTTGCAGTCTGCTGTTGATATGTCCATCTCTGTTCAGCATAGGAGTGCCTGTTATACTGTATAGGTTGTACTATTTTTATCTCTGTGATATAATAATACAAATACATGACAGCACCCAATAGTGAATTTCCCAGTCTCCACCTGGGCTAGTATAGATGAAGAATAGGAGGAAGGAAATTTATTTATTTCAAGCTGTTGTGTTATATTTTCTTTCTACTGCTGGATTCAGCCATAGAATGGTTTTCAAAGCTCTGTTTCCACCTGCACGAAGAAACAAAGTCTACACCAAAAATGCAAGAGGGATCCATGTTTTAAAAACATGTCACATGGGCTACTGGAATGCATTGCATTGCTCCTTGGACATAATTTGAAGCACAACACAGAAGTCAAAATTTGGGGGGATTGGTGTGGTTCACTGAGAATAAAGACCATCCATTTTGTGAGGTCTACACTGCTTACAAGTTTCTTGACCTTGAGATCTAAAACCTGAGACCTAAGTATCTTAAGGAACACTTCCTCCAATCTATTTGAGCTTCAAAAACTTTCACTAAAGCTCTTCTCACCATGTCAGAGATTAGATTGATGGCAATAAAGACAGACTTTACTGTCTGTTGTCCTAGTGATGGAATTCTTTACAGTGGTACGTCTTAAGGTGCTGAGTGAATATAAATTTATTATGGCAGGCATTTCAATCATTTGCATTTTAAAGAACTGGAAGGATACTATATTTTAAGCAGTGCTGTTTAAATGAATAATTCTGTTATTGATATTAACTGAGCTACTATATTAGGGATAGTGCTGTAGCTTTTGTTTAATTGCACAGTAAATTGTCCTTGGACAGAAGTGGAGGATACAGGTAAATATACCTTTAATGATGTGAACTAGACAAAAATACAACTGGAGTAGCTTAACAACTGTGGCAAAAAAGGAGATAAAATTAGGTGTGACTCATTTAATGACTCCATTGCTTAGCAACAGACATTCCAGTCCCAATTGTGGTTGTAAATTGAGGACTATCTGTATAACTACCTCTTGTGCTTCTAGCTCTGGTTATAAGAGCCACTCTAATTATTTTCACTATCATCACAAATTTTCCTAGCCTCCCTCTGATCTCAAAGTAGCAATCCTGACACAGAAGGATCTCAGTTCTTCCAACACAATTTATTGATCTTATTTTAGTCACATTCACATATTTCACTGAGCCATTTGTTTTAATGCTAACTAACCAATTTGTGATGCACATCTTTCAATTGCTTCCTGCTGCACAAGCAGAGAACCAACTTGGTTTTTTATTATCAAAAGAGATAGTGTGATTCTGGGATCATGGAACTACGCCCAAATTTATATGTGATTTAACAACCACGTTGGCTGGGTTCTCATAACACGTTAAGCCAAAATTAGATAAGCCATAGCAAAGTTGTGGTACACTATATTCCTGAATTAAACACAAAGTCATAAAGAGGTCTCTTCAGTTTTGGCTTCATATGCTGACTTGGAATTCTGCTGATTGTAGCTCCAGCATACCCGGAGGGCATCAGATGGGGAAAGGATGGTTTGTTTTGGCAACTAGTCTTTAGGGTCTGAGGCAGATATATTTCCTGTTGACATTCTTCATCAGCAATGGCCAGTACTGAGTCTGGTGTGGCATGCAAATAATGGGTTCTGTAACTACGCTGTGGTCTCTCCACACAGCCATTAAATGCAGTGAAGCAAAAAAGTCTCATGGTAGCAAGGACGGTGGGATTTTCCTCCCTTTTGCCAAACAAACATCTGTGAGGGTTTTGAGCCCAAAATCTGGCTATGTGATTCTATGGAATTTAGTTACTAATAGCATATTCTCCTCTACTAAACAAGAGACAAAGCTAAGCCATTTCTATTAAGAAAAAATAAAAGGGAACTGAGTTCTATAACCAAAGAGCTGACAAAAATACACATGCCAACAGCTAAGAAGTTGCTCATTCAAAAAGCATGAAGGTTATCTTTGCAGGTAAATGACAAGTGACACAAATGTTTTGCTACCAGCATTAGCCCAGGCACATCAGGGTTGCTTTTCTATCAGCCAGCATATCATTTAAAGCGTGGCATTCCACGATATGTGCCTAACAAAGAGGCCATTTAAGACACAGCTCTGCTTGTGCTAATCTTCCAAAACTGAGAAGGGAGACCTATCGCAGCTCTGTTTGGGTGTTTAACTTAACACTGGAGAGCTGGATCCAATAGTCTAATGCAGAACAGCGACAGTCCAAGAGAAGGGCTTATTACCACTGTTTCTGCTGAACAAGTAGCTTTTGGAAAATCTAGGAATGCAAGGGAATATTTTTCAAAGAAGCATCCAGGCTATCCTTCTACCATTAAAGCAGAGTTAGTATGCTGCCAACAAACACCAGTGAATCTATAAACATTTTATTTGATATCTGCCAGGTGGTCCCTACTCCAACTTTTAATTTCAATTTTTAATTGAAAATGGAAAGTTGTCATGCTACAAAGAAAAGTATAACCTACAGCATCTTGTTTTCAAGGTCCCCCAAATGCCCAATTGGCATTTAACAAAACAAAATAAAATGAGAATAGAGGGAATTGGTTCAGTGTTATATGTGGGAAAGTGTCCACTTACCTACAAAAAAAATTAAAGATACATTGGAGTGATATACGCAGAATCCTATGTAGCTAGAACTGGTTTTATAGTAAATGGATGGTGTATGACAGGCTATATTCAGTCCGGTAGCCATTTTGTGAATAAGTGCCCCAACAATAGCTGTTTTGGGAGGAGACTTATGAAATGCTTTTAAAATTCCAAATGTGCTCAGAAGAACAAAAATACAGCAAACTATTAATTTATAATAACAATAATAGCAATGATTATTAATAGTAGTACTATATACCATTATTCATACCCACAGCACTTTACAGAAACCTGAGTCTACTCTAAAAAGTTTACAAGATAAAAATTGATTATAAACATTATAAAGCAGGAAATCTTTGGATAGCAGAAAATGGTAGAGCTGGAAAAGTAAAAATCATAAGCAAAGAAGTATCAGAAGAAAAAAATATTTCCAGCTGACAACTATTATTCATTTCATTCCCATTATTTTGAAACAAAATAATCACATAAGTATAAATTAATTCCTATGGAGACTTGGAAAAGGAAAAAGAACAATTACCCAGTTTAAAGGTATTTAGAACAGTCATTTAATTATAGTATCAGTTTTCAATATATTTTGTGTTACTTATAGTTGTGAGCCTGTTTTTTGAAAAATTAAGTCAATCAATTTCTTTGTTTCCTTCTATTAATTGATCTCAATAATATAGCATAAAAGTCTCTTAATTATTCTAATAGTTTATGTCAAGGAGAATCACAAACCACATATTGTTATGGAAATAATGTTGAATGACATGTCTGAATCAGAGGTACAAAGAATGGTTTACACCAGCATCTACACAGAAACTCTTTCATAGGGTCTAATTAAAATTTAACTGACATAGTTTCAAACAAGCAACCAGATGATAATGTTGATGAATTCCTGCAACTATAAATTTAACTATTTCTAATTTCACAAATATATTAATCTTTAATATGGTATTCATAGTCACATATATTCAACTTTCTTGGATTATTCTAAAGGGATTATTTTAAAGTATTTATCAGAGGTAACCTTTTGCAGACCTGAGTCTACTTCTTGAGATGGATAGAGTCTGACCTTTAATTTGATAGTATCACAAAAGTCTGTGGATTTTTGTTCTTCAAAAATAATTTTAATTTGGAAACCAAATAGTTATGATCTCATTGTTCCTTTAAACTGTATTTGAGAAAGTTTAACTCATAAGTCCACTTACCAAGCAAGGAAAGCCAACATTACCACCAGAAAAGTCAGCGTGGCTGTTGTAACATTAGCCTCAATAAAGTCGAGCCTCAAGACATCTGTAAGTCCCATTGTCTTCAGCTGGAGAAGCACTCTAGTCAAACAGGCAGAAAAAAAGGATGTTTCATTATTTAGGAGGTGACAGACTTCCAACCGTTAATACAAATGACAAGCGACAAGCGACAGCAAAAGAGGAACCAAGGAAGTTAAGTTACATCAAAGTCACTCCAAAACCAAACACCAACTTTTCCTGTTCTTGCAGCTTTAGATAGACAGAATCAAGGGTTTCCTGCATTAGTAGGCCAAGACAATGCTCTTCCAATCCTCCCTTCAACATTAACAACTACAGCAGCAATAAATATTTACATAAGTGCTGCCTGATATCACAGAGCTGGCATGTAGAGATGAATAAAGGATAAGAATGAACTAACCTGGTATAGATTTCAAAGCCCAGAGGGCAGTGGGTAAAAAAAATCAATGAGTTCTTCATCTCTGTTTAATAGAAAATATCTTACACAACATGAAGACTGTGGCCTTGCATTCTTGATTAATAGCAATACTGCTGGACAGACAGCTCTAGAAATAGGCTATCCAAAGACTTAAGCAAATTTTGAATGAGCCAAATTGCTTTTTGCAGACTTGTCGATATCTCTTTTCCCACCTGCACCTAAGTGGAGCAGAAATATATCTGGCTTCCACTGTGTCTTTGTGGCATTCCCTTCATCTCATTCCTAGATTATGAAGACCAGCTTCAGTCATTTTTTATGGCTTTTCCTTCTAACAGCAGCCATCAATAGCATCCATTAACAAGGTTTGTAAAATCTGTGACACTTTCCACTTTTTATCCTGGAGATAAAGTCAGATGATCAATAGTGGAATGGAACAAAATATTGGCTTTTTCAGGCTGACAGTGGAGCGTTTTTTTTGTTTTTGTTTTTTTCGTTCTTCCAGTCCATAGTGTGTCTCATCTGCTGCCATTCTGCTGTTTATTTATTTATTTATTTATGAGACTTATATACCGCTTTAAGTGCAAGCACTCTCTAAGCGGTGTACACCAGTAAGCAATGTATATATATATTTACATTGCCCCCAACAATCTGGGTCCTCATTTTACCTACCCCGGAAGGATGGAAGGCTGAGTCAACCTTGAGCCGGTGAGATTTGAACCGCTGACCTGCTGAACACAGTCAGCTAAAGTGGCCTGCAATACTGCACTCTAACTGCTGTGCCACCTCTGCTCTTCTGTTGTCTCTTTAAAGATGCACTGGTTCAGGTTCAGGTCTATGCAATAGTGCTACACTGATCATCCAGTAACTCTATAGTTTAGTGCAAGGTTGAAGCAAGGTACTCATGAAATGCGGGAACCAACCCAATTCCCCCTCTAATTGTTCCTGAATAGAGTGTGGAGGAAACTGGATTTCAGCAATTTATTGCTTATTTTATTTAAAGAAAGAAAAGAATTCTACCTAAAAATGCTGCTTCTGATTCAGTTTGCTCTATGACTTTGGTCTTTTTTTAAAAAAAAAAATATTCAGTTCAGTTTTCAACAAAATAGGGTAGAGGAGCCGGAGGACTAGGAAGAGTTTGGAGATGATACCAGAGTTTTGCACCCACATATGCACTGCACTGCCGCATTGCCTCGATTAGCAAATGTCTTTCCTGACAGCCAGTAATGTGCAGAAGAGGGAGGATGTGAATTAATCGCTTTGCTTATCACATGTTCACATGCACAGACAGGACAGCACCATTCAGTAGTGAATGAGAACAAAGCAACTGAAAGAGAATAGTGATCAGCACTCAGGCAGCAAATGTCATAGTTTTCTGCTGAATCGAGGATTGATAGTACTTTAATGCAGTAGTGGGAAAATGACCTACATTAAAAATCACCTCTAGAAATGAAAACAAAAAAAAATAGGTCTTTGTGGAAGTACCATGCTTGGCATCCAAAGAGAAGGTTAGCTAACATGTAAACATGTCCTCCACTGAGTAGATCACTGATTCATTCTAGCTCAGCACTAAATTATTTGAGTAGAAATAACCATCTACCCTTTAAGTCTTTTTCAAAAGCCTGAAAAAGTTAAAAACTAGCAGCACTGGAGATTAAATTTGGGAATATGCAATTGGCATCAAATGGTACTATTGTGGCACTCAATTTATAGAAACTTAAGGAAATCCCCCAACAGAAGGGGCATATTCTAACTCTACTGCTATCAAGGTATATGTTGAAACCTAATTATCTATGCCACCTTTTGATTTCGCTCAGCTAATGGTTTGTGTTTTATACATTTTAATATTATTTGATGTGTTTTACTGCACATTCCCTGACCATTCATAACCCAACAGACGAGGGATCCCCAACCCCGACTGTGGACTGGTACTGGGTGCTGCATGCCAGCAACCGGTCCACACAAACAAGCAAAGCCACATCTGCAGGATGCAGGCAGCACACAAAACCACACCCTCTCCAGTCCACGAAAAAACTCTCTCCACTTAACCAGTCCCTGGTGCCCCAAAGGTTGGAGACCTCTGCAATAGTCTTTGCACAAATAAGAAGTCATATAATTCGTCACATACATCTGTTGAAGATTATGAGAACAGAACATTGGATTACATAAACTTCTAGTTTGTGCTAGAAGACTTATCTAGAGTTTTAACAACATATCATGAGCATTTTCACAAAATGACTCCTATAGTGGACATAATGTATTCATTGGTGCAAAACTAAGTATCCATTGATGCCACATCCCTTCTAGCCACCCAAAATATTCTTCACTGTTTTGGATAAGTGTTTTACTCCCTGGTAAGAAGACCCCCTTATGAATAAAATAAAGCAACTCCACACCATTTAAACATGTTGCTGTGACTACTTCTGGTCAAGATATGAATGGAAAGGAGGTTTAGATCAGTGTTTCTCAAACTCAGCAATTTTAAGATGTGAGGACTTCGACTCCCAGAATTTCCTAGTTGAGCTGGGAGTTAAAAGTTCACACATTTTAAACTTGCTGACATTGAGATACATTTCTTTAGATTCAGCATGGGCAGCCTCAATCTATCTCTAAGCAGCACCTCAAAGACAGCAAAAAGGCTCATAAAATGTTTGAGGAAGTGGCAAGACAGGTATAATATACTGTAGTTTTACATGGTCACAACATTCATAATGACTTGATTTTAAATACATAATTCTTTTTACAAGCTGCTAACAAGTGTAGAAGCAGTGTTTGGATTCTCTGCCCAAGTCACTTCATTCTGGAATACTGCAATAGGTCTTACATGGGGCTGCCCTTGAAGACCACTCAGAAGTTACAGCTGGTCCAGAATGCAGAGCACAAGTAGTAATGGAGTACCTCAGTACAGCCATGTAACCTTCCTAATTGTACTGCATTTAGTATTAGCAGGCTTCCAGATACAATTCAAGGTAATAGTTATTGCTTACAAGGCAGCTTAAATGGCATAGGGCCTGGATATCTGAGGGACAATTTTTCTCCAATTGTCTCTGCCTATCCCATAAGAACCAACAGAGTTGGCATACTTTCTCTGTCACCCTCTTGAACAGTTTTTCCCCTGAAGTTTTTTGGATTATTCTCCTTTGATTTGGATACTTAGGCTCTAAACATTCCGAGTGTGGCTTTATCAAATAATTGTTTGACAACATTATGCAAATTTTAAAATCTTAAAAGTCAGGTTTTTATACCTTCTCTGGCAAGTCTCAGAAACAAGTATTCTATATTGTATTCTCATAAATATAAAGGCAGACCTTCAAAACAGCCTTTCAGTTGATTTTATGGCTGTTTTTAATGCCTCCGGTTTAATTTGCATATTAGATTTTACTTTACATTTTAGTGAAAGCATTGATAGAACTGGGAGTAAAATAAATTTATTCGATAATGTAATTAATCCTAAAATACATATTTTATTTAAGATTTAAGGCTTCTCTAATTTTCTATTATATTATGTATTCTTATCACACCAAAGCACATGGACATATGCTCACTAAATCACCAGTATAACAAAAGTCACTCCTAAGAAGACTGGTCCATACAATAGCCAAACTAGAGTTTACCCTCTGTTCTAAAAAAGGCATGCAGTGCCTTGCCTGTGTATTCCACAGATTAAGTAAAAAGATCAATGAGTTCACTAGCAGCTTTGCAAAGCATTTCACACATCCAATGTGCTGTGCCTGTGTTTACAGCATTAATAGCACCAACACTTCCAACTGCAAATCTAAATCAATAAATGCATTGCCACATCACTCTGGTCCAGCAAGCACCTGCTTCAAAACAGGGAAATTGCAATCAACCAGCTCTTCCCTATCGAGTGATTGGACTGTTCTCCTCAAGTCAGTGTCAATATTTTTTTTTATTGTGTCCTTTGCCAGCACTATTTGATTCTAAATGAACAACCCATGTCATGCAAAAAAGCAGTAGTTACGGCAAGCAGGATACAGGAAATCTTGAACTTATGAGGTTGCTTTGCATTCTGCCAAAGTATTTGGCATGTTGATCCCACTACTGGCAGCTCTGACTGGCAGCAGCTTTCTAGGGTTTCAAGAAGGCAATTTTCCCAGGTTCTGGTACATGAGATTATAAAGAAATCAGCCATTGTCAAAGGTTAGGATCAGGGCATGATGCAAGGCATCCCTTGAAAGATAAATTGTGGCAGCAAGAATTACCAAGCTGCTACAGCAAGAAGGAACCGGGGCCAGGATATACAAAGACCCAGAGAGCTTCTAGAAGAATGCTTCTCAACCTCAACAACTTTAAAATGTGTGGACTTCAACTCCCAGAATTCCCAAGCCAGCATGTGTTGAATCCCACACATCTTAAAATTGCTGAAGTTGAAAAACATAGGGAGAGATCTTTGAAACTGCCAGCTTTCCATATTACAAGTTTGGCTAGACAGCTATAAATGCAAAAAAACAAAAACAAAAAAACCCACCCAGTTTTTTAATATTTGGAAGAGCTAGGTGAGCAGAGAAAAATGTTTAGAGGGTAAAATATTGTTCCTTAAGTACTTCCCTGTTGAACAGAGGTCTTTTCACAGGTTTATTTCCCTTTCCAACAATTCCTCCTCTTCTACAGAATTTCTCTAGAGCAG